GAATGGAAGTCTTAGGGAAATATAGGAACCTAATACTGCCAGCAAGTTCTTCAGAAATTTAGCGTTGAACCAGTAGGAAGGGGCTGTTTCCTATTCCGCGCAGGCCTGTGGAGGCTGACTTCCAAGCCCATTCTCATCAAATTCAAAATGAAGGGATCTTTTCCCCTTTGGCTACTCAGTGTAGAAACAGCTTGGCTTTTTACCTAAGCCCTGTAGGCTGAGGGTTGGACCCTAATCCCTATTTATCTCTCCTCCCCCCCGTCCCCAGCTCATGTCTCCACTAACTGACTTTGCTAGAATGAGAAAAACAGAGAAAAAACATAGCCACAGACAGACCCACCAGACTTCTACTTCAATGCATAGCACTTGGATAGCATTTCCAACTGTGATGTATAAATAAATTATAAAGCACAAACAATGCTATAAAACAACATCCTGAGTTTACAAATAAATTATAACTTCTTCATAAATTGAATATGACAGTGTGTGATGTTAGCAGAATGGGAATGATGGAATGAGTCTTTTTTAGTGTTGAAGATAATTTCTATGTATACATAAAATAATAGATGTGTGAGTACTGATATTTCAATGCTCACCTCTACATATGTGGACATTGGGAACAACTATGTTTAGAGAATATTAATTATATGCAATGAAGGCTTGGTACGGCCTCAAGCCCCACTCTGTGTTCAATATTATGATATCACCTCAGTTTCTGAGTAGGGCCACCCAAAAGCAGAATGTGTTTGTTTAGGGAGGGATAAATTAGCTTCTAGGAATTTTCAAAAACATTTTTTGAGAAGATGGGCTTAAGTTACAATAGCTTCTCCTGTATAGGAATTATGCTTTTCTCATTATAGATATAATGAACAAGTCGTAATTTAGAAAGTTATTTTGTCAGAAGATTGCTAAGTGACACGATTGATGAGTTTTTCACCCCACAGATATTGATGGATATTTTCTGGAGGTGGAGAAAGATACATTAGAATCCAAAGGAAAATTATTTTTCGACCACCAGTCCCCCTACCCCCCATAGACTCATTTGCTGACAGCATCACTGACACTGAACACCTGGGTTTGTTTCATTTGGTGCAGAGAAAAGTGGTCTGCATTGACCTTTTCTTCCCATCTGGAAGACTTATGCATGGTAGCATTGAAGGGTATCCCTCTCATGTGGAAAGCTGGCCAGGAGGCCCTGGGGACAATGGCAGTGGATGGCTTAGTCAGTATCAACTAATAGCAAACAAGACTTTCAACCTGTTTTCTTACTGGCATGGTTTCAGGGCTTAAGATATATTGCCTTTAAAAGTGAGGAAATATTTTTTGTATATGCTCAAAGAACATGCAGCAGGAAAGAACAATGAGTGAATTCAGGAATTCTTCCATTTTCAATTTTGACATCAACACATCTTTAGTCATTTATTTTATAGTCTAAAATCCTTTTTGGAATAAGAAGTCAAAAGGCATTCAATATATTATTATTTTGGAAGGCTCAATTACAGATCCGCAGGGGCCAATGACACAGACCACTGTGTTTGTATTGAACAAATAAATCTGCAGGCTCTTGCCAGGCTTGTCTTCTATCCCAAGAAGCCAAGGTCAGACAGCTGCTTTCAAGTTGTAACACCTGCGAGGAAGGCTTATGGATTAACCAAAATTCATGATGAGTGTTAGAATTTGAAGCCCAAAAGAAGGTGGCTGGTTTATAAGGATACGAGATACATACCCGAGTGGGTACAACGGCATTTTTTGCTCAACACTTGAAAAGAAATCTGGGCTGCAAGCATGAGATTTATGTGTGTGTAAGACTTTCTGAACCTCTACCCTGGTTGAGATATACAGCTGCACTGAAGTCACTGCCACCTTATAGGAACACATTCGACTTCAAGCTTAAGGCTAATTTAGGAAAAATGGGGCCAGATTTCTACCTGCTGAATTCCCCATGCAGGGTTACACGGATATTTACCCCAGCTTCTAGTGCCAATAGCCCCTTCTCTGTCTTGAGGTTCCTTGTGTGATTCCCACCTGTGTTGAGACGGACCCACCTTTGTATTTGCATCTCAAGTTCCCTATGCTCAGAATAGCAATTGGAGATTAAACACCATGCAGGGTGATCTGATTTCAAATCTGGAAGAGATGAAAGTTAGCTTCCCACAATGTAGAGGGGAATTCAAGGACAAGATCAAAGTTTGCAGCTCTCAGGCGGGGATTGAAAGCCCAGGATAAAGCAAACTATCACTCTCTCGCAGCACAGAACAGCATCATGAAATGCAATACAGATTTACTCCCAGGGAAACAATATCACTGTTTCCCTTTTTTAGATCTTAGTTGTGCTCTGCTGCTAATGCTTCACCCCACACTAAACTATTTAGAGCAGGGGTTGAAGTTTCAGACAAACAATTAAGGCTTACACATCTAAATGTTAACGTCAAGTAAGCATTTCTCTAGTCCTTTCATTCGTGGCTAATGAAATAGAAATGGGTTATTTGACATTCCCTTTGCCTTTTTGCGGTTATCTGGCACCAAAACCAAAAGGACACCTGGTACTGTCTCACATCTGGTCACTGTATGAGGCATTTTTCAGTTATTGGGACTGCTTCAAAATAGTCAGCTGGACCATCTTCCTTTGTGCTTAAAAATCATCTATCTATATAGTCAATTTATAGGCAGGGCAAGGAATAAGCATATCGTAGCATAAAATGCATCATTTCGTTACATGGTTTATCAGTACTTGGTAAATTTAAGATGCTTGCAGGTCAAAAGAAAAAAAAAAAAAAAGGAAAAGAAGAGAGAAATAACGGATAGCATCCGTGCAAAGTTGTGCTCCTACATCATGGCCAGCAGGATCCTGCGAGATATTCCATGACGTGGCATTTTGGGAAGCCAGTCTGACTTGGTAAGAGACCTCTTGGGTTTCATTTAGCCATTTGTTATATCATAAAGTTGCTAGAAGTATATAAAAGCAGGTTTAGGCAGGAGGAAGCTGAAGGCCACTCCCCTAAGAAGTATTCTACTAATTGAGATTTTAAATCTCTGTAGACATTTCTACTTGGTCTCATTCCAGGAAGGGGACCAGGCTCTGTCCCTGCCCTACCAAGGACATCAATGTGGCACAGTGACCTCGGGAATATGTGCAGGGGCAAAAGCTAAGCTCACTGATTACTAATAAAATGAATTTATTTCCAACAAGAAAAAAAGTACTTACCTTTGAAAATTCCCAAGTTAAAGATTTTTCATGAAGTGGTATATTTCAAACCAGCCGCCAAAAAAGATGCCAAATGGAAAACTCAGAGGATTGGCATCCTTTGGGTCCAGATGCTTCCAAGAACACTGCGTTTAAGCAAGCCCACTCACACTAGTGCTATGAGGCCAGAGGTAAGTCCAGGGCCACGGATTATGGGTTTACAGTTCAAGAACTCAGGGAGGCCCTGCTTCCCAAGGCAACACTTGTTTTACAGGGGGGTGGGGAGAAGATGCATAGAGGGGGAAAAAGGAGGAAATGTGCTATTCCAGAAAAACCGTTCACCATATTTTAGGACATTCTACTAGCAAACTTGGGCCTATCTCCTGTGTGTACCTTTGCATAGGAGCAGACTCTTACAGAGAGTGCAAAGCCAGACTGGTGGCCCATGAAGCTAGCTTCCAAAACACATGCACCAACAAGGCCATCCGAGCACTGTTTTGATAATAAAGGATCCTGACTTCAGTTCCCATTTACTGAGCTCAGTTCAAACTTGCTGGCTGTTTAGCCATCTATGTGGGCTGCATGTGTTCAGAGGTGCTTTGACCAAAAAAAATGCAAGGCTTCTTTTTCCTTGAGGAATAGCTGTTTTGGGGGCAGCCTAGCCTGGAAATTGGCTTGTTAAGATATGCTGCATTTGAGGGCAAAATGGAACAGTACTCTGTGCAAACCCCTGAGCACCTTCCTGAATGGGAAGACTGCAGGGTCTCTTGGAGAGGGTTCTTCTCTGGAAGGTGGGAGGACTTCTGGATTCTGTGCTGCCCCAACGCCACTACAGCTGTTATCAAGGAAATTCCTTGATCACTCTGTGCCTTAGGTTTCTTTCACAAAAATGGGTTTGATAATCCCTAAGGGAATTGTGACAGGGATGGACATCTGAATTTGAGAATGAGGTCCTAAGTTTTTGAGAGTCAAGACGTGGACATTCATATTCATGATACTCTGTGTTCTACCTATCCAGGATTATGGATAGAGGGAAGGAAAAATTCTCTCTGCCTTTGGGTACCATGGTTGAGGGGACAAGCCTTGTCTCTTCTTGGTATAGAGGCTTTGGGACATGTGTTAGCTGGAACTCTTGCTTTTAAGCAGTCCTCTGGACAACAGAAAAGTTGTGCAGTCTCAAGACTCCTTTGAGTCTCTGAGCATGTGAAAGTCTGAGAAGGTCTCTAAACTGGGAAAAATCCCCCACTTCACAAAACGAGAAAACAAAGAAATATGGCTCTGTTGAATTGGTTCAAGCTTTCAACTCAGAGTCTTTGGAATAAAAATGAATATGAAAAATGTTTGAAGGGCCATGAAACCCCGGATTTGTGGGTCAAGAAACAAGTATGTATGTGAGGACTCGGATGGGGGGGACCCTTATTCAGAATAAACAGTCCACCTACAAGGAGAGTGAAGGGCCCAGTTCGCAAAGGACTCCTTTTCCCTTAAAGATGCAGGCCCTGTCTCCTCTCCCATTCTCTGAAGCTCACATGCACCTGCTCCATGATCAGCCTTCCAAGTCTGTCATGCAGACCTGTGGGAGGTGCACCTGTAGGAGGTGGCGTCAAGGTGACCTGCGGCTCCAAAACTTCTTTGGAAGCAAACACTGGCTTGTGCCGCTAGATTCTGTTTGAGTGGCCTTACCAGAATCACCATAAAAGACAGTTAACATTTACTCATATGCAATACTGATTAGGAAATAGTTCTACAAACACAACTTACTTAGAAACAGCAAGTCAGAAATAGGATAAAACACCAAGAGAAAACGAGCTGTAAATACATTTCAAAAATGTGTTTTTCTTTTTTGTTTTGTAGTTTTCATCTTGACTAGCACCATCTGTACACAAGAAAGTATGAACATAAATGTTTGGATAATAATAAAGATTTGCAAGGCACTTAGTCGTTCTGGGTCATTTTTTGTTGTTTTACGTTCTCTTTCCACAGCAATCCTATGTCCACCCTCCCCCTTTCTCACTAAAGCAAGAGAAGAGTGAGGTGTCTTTTGCTAGCAGTTCTTATGTACAAACAAGGTCTTTAAAGTTCCTCAAAGTGCTTTTTCAGTCTCGCGGGGCTTCAACATCCCTTGGGCCATCATTTTCTCCTTCCATGGGTGTTTGGCGTTTGCACCTTTCCTATAGAAAACAAAAGAAAACTTCGCCTTCCGCTCAACGCTCACTCCAGACTTGCCACCAACCTTCATCCTCATTCATTGTCTTTGCCACCAGCACAGAGGGCCTGGGGGCAGGTGACGTCTCCGTGAAGTCCTAGGGAGCGAGGGGACTGCTAGGACAGGAGTCCAGCTTTCTATCGGCGCCTGGAGGTGATGTCAAAGCAGGTGATCATCATGAGATGGGCCTTGCAGAAGTTGACGCGGCTCTCCAGGCGTTCCGTCACACACTCCAGCGCCTCCAGGTACTCCAGGGAATCCAGCTCCAAAACCTGCTCCAAGTCAACTGCAAAAGAGGAGACGTCCGATGGAGACATGAAACTCATAGGGTAGGAACCATCTCCTGACAGCTCTGCCCACGGCTGTCCTCCTTCCCCATTCTTTTCCCTTCCCCCACATTTACCACTTGGTCCAAAAATCTAATCTTGCCTGCCTCGGGCAGCATTGGTGTTCCCTCCTGCCTGATTCTTGGCCTCTCTTGGGTAGAAATGGAGCCTGTTCACCAGGTTTTAGATCCTTAACATTTTGTTGAGACTGTACTGAGGAGTGAGGTGACATTCTAGCTCCCCTCACCTCCAGCCATCTACATCACAGGAGTTGAGAAAGATTCCAGCACCATTATTCTTGACTAACCATAAAGTAAGTAGTTATTCAAGCTGAGATAGGGAGATTCCCTTTCTTTTTTTTTTTTTTTTTGAGTTGGAGTCTCACCCTGTCGCCCAGGCTGGAGTGCACACAGCCACCCCAGCATCGACCTGCTGGGCTCCGATGATCCTTCTGCCTCACCCTTCCAAGTAGCTGAAACTACAGGCATGCACTACCATGCCCAGCTGAGTTTTTTTTATTTATTGTACAGATGAGGTCTCACCAAGTTGCCCAGGCTGGTCTCAAACCCGCTGGCTCAGGTAGTTCACTCACCTTGGCCTCCCAAAGTCCTGGGATTACAGGCTGAGCCACCAAAGACTCCCCTTTTGGAGTCTTACATTTATATCTCTTATATGAAAGGATGTTTCTCTCTGGCTATTCCTTCATGCCCTATACGTAGCTGCCTCAAACTGAGAAATCTGACCTTGTCTCTTGGCATGTCCTTGTGCACTCTGACCTACTCACTGGTCACTCAGAAAATATGATGATAAGCAAGATCTATGTTAATAATTAAGATTCCTGGCCGGGCTCGGTGGCTCAGCCTGTAATCCCGTGCCTTTGGGAGGCTGAGGTGAG